GCTTTGCAAATTTCGTGAATCTTGCTCGATGTTCAAGGTCTGTGAACTTTGCAATGAACCCCACTGAATTCTATAAGGAGCGAACCTTGTTATTCACATCTGGCCATATGTAGGTCTGATAAGTAAGCTACTGTCAAACATAAGGCATGGGAAGCCAGATACTGGTATGGGGGACATCTACCACTACCAATATATATATATATATATATATATATATATTTTTTTTTTTTTTTTTTTTTTTTTTTTAAGTGGTTCTAGATGGTTTTTTTACCTTAATGAATTCTATGCAGTAAGGTAAAAAATGCTCTGGGCGCAGCCCCCCCTTACACTTACCTGAGTGGTTGAGCCCCATGTCAATCCAGGGATGTGCAAGACAGCAGCAGCTCTCTCAAGTTTCTCTCTCCTCATTGGCTCACACAGCAGCGGGAGACATTGGATCCTGCTGCTGTCAATCACAGCCAGTGAACCAATAAGGAGAGAGCTGGGGCAGGGCCAAGCTGCACTCTGTGAGTGACTGGACATGTCCATTCACAGGAGCATGGCTTGATGCGTGCCTGCTCAAGTGCCCTCATAGCAAGAGGTTTGCTAGTGGGGGCACTCAGCAGGGGGAAGCCAGGAACACCGGTGAGGGAGCCAAAAAGAAGAAGATCAGGGCTGCTCTGTGCAAAACCATTACACGGAGCAGATAAATAAAACATATTTGTTATTTAAAAAAAAAATGACAACCTGTAGATTCACTTCAAGTGAAGTCTGCAACAAAATATGGCTGCTGTGAGCCCACCCCTTTATAGAAAGGGTCTGGATTATCAATTCCTTCAAATTATTATTTAGCTCAGCTAACCAGGGAAAAGGCTACGACATACATAGGTTGTTCCCTATTTCTGGTAGCAAGCCTACAAACTTTTCATCCAAATATTTGCAATGTGGGAACTTCGCAGATCCCAGGAATTCGCCATGAACTTGCCATGAATGCATAGTAATGGCAAGCCCAAACATCATCTCTAGCGCTGTCTTTGTCCTTAGGTTTGGTTCACACCATGCGGGTGCAATTGCGCACGAGTGCGTTCCTGTGCATAGCATGTAGGGAAGCCCTTTCATTTCAGTGGGCTGTCCTATGTATGAGCAATGCAGAAAAGAAGTCCTGAATCTTTTACAAAAATGTGGCAAACCAAACCACATTGAGCTGCGGCACCTTGCGGTGTGGTGCATTTGGAAACATGCATTTTCAGATGTATTGGGGGGCAAATAACAATAAATAAGAGCCCTGAGGAAGTCACATGATATTGTGACGCAACGCGTCGGCCTAACGTGTTGTCGCACCTCTGGCGTGGTGGCCATCTTGGTGCACCTTTTCTTGATTCCTGTACACCCATGCAGATTACACCCAAAAGCATATGGTTGTAAAGCTGTCATCTTTGAGGACGGATGTGAGTTGTCTCCATATGTTTATGGTTTGATTCTCATTAAATTTACCTGCTACACTATGGGAGATTGTGTTTATTTTCTTGGCACATACCCATATCCCATAAGAGGAGCCACTGCTTGACCATCGACCCCTAGAGAAGGATATCTATGGATGGGGAAAGTGGATCAGTGGATATCAGTAGATGCTGAGAGGATTTGAGGGTTTGATCCCACTATACGCTTTGACCTTCACGGGTCGAAGCCTGGAGGTGAGAGGCTAATCTAGCCGTGTGTTGGAGTTTCTACACCTGGAGTCACTTTATGATCACGTATGCTTGCAATTGCAGTAGTGGTGTCACCCACCCATTGGACTTTTGTCTACACATTTTTTATTTTTTGTTTGTGTTTTAGTGTGACATTTTTTGCACTTTATTTGCATGATTGATCACAGTTTAATTATCATTATTTATTGCTCTCATGTGCTAGAAACTGTCACAAAGATTGTTAATACACGATATTTATACACTATGTTTTTTATGATATTAGTTTAATTTATATTTTCTGATCACTATGACCACTTGATTATTATATGTATATTTATTTCACGAGGTGTATTGTATGTGTATATATATTTTTTTTTTCTTTTTGATTAGTAATTTTTAAGTTTTATGAGTAGCGCCACATTTTTTGATTTTTAAATAACAATTAATGGCACCACTGCGCATCTGCTAAAGGGCAGCATGTTTCTGTGCATGTTGGGAAAGCGCATGATTTTGTGCATGTTCCCAACATGCAAAGGTGTGAACTTAAACTTATTGAGTAGGTTTCCTCCTTTCTCTCTGGCAGGATAGGAAGAGATTGGAAATTCCTCCTGTAGGAAAGTGAGAAAAGAGATAGGGTGAGGTAGCAATGGTTTTTATTGCTATCTGGGCATTCCAATCCCATTGACAATGCCCTCCACATTTATTGTACAGACATCTCACAAACAGGAAGTGAGGGTTAAATCTCCCCAATGTATTCACTCTATAATTAACAAATGTAATGTTCCTGGAGCTAGGCTTTCATTTATGTAGAATGCAGCCAATCAACCCATCTAGCCAGTTCTCCTTCAAAAAACTCAAAATTCCTAAAGAGTCTTTGGATTTGAATAAAGCACTATTAATCAATTAGGGCTTAGCAATACACACAGCAATGCTAGCTGATTAACTGCATGTTAATTAGAATTCCTCAAAAATCCGTCACCACTGGGAGCTCTTGCCTCATCGGTTGGGTGGCTTTGTGCACAGCACATTTAGGCCGCATTAAGCTTTTATTGTTTTGCGCTGTTATTTGGCAGGAGGCAAGCTTGCACCTGTGCGTTGTATGGCGGCTTGGAATACGGATGGACCTGCGGCGTTATCTTTGGGTATCTCGGCTAATTATGAATGGTTTGTGCTATGCTAATAGACACCTGTGTATACCAGTGTACCAGCTGGCTGGAGATTTGTGCACAGAGAGGGAAGCTGCACTATGTTAAAGCAGACTGTGGGCTTCCTTTGACTCCCCTTTAATGAAAATGCTAATCACCTGGCTGCTTCTATTGACTTCAATACTTTCTTTATCACTGACATGAAGCAAATACACAGCAAACATTTCAGATTGAAGTCAAAACTTCTGATCTGCTTGCTCAGAAAATGTTGAAAGTGGTATTAAGCCCTAAACCAAAAATGTAATATATTGCAGCTTACCAATCATTAGATGTGGTGGCTGCATTAGTTTTCTTTTTTTATGCTTTTTTCCCCTCCTTTTTTCACCTGGTGATCTGGCCAGTAACACCTCCTCTATTAAAATTCCCCCACTCTGGATGAAGCACAGGGGGCACTTTTGGACAGCAACATTGTTCATCTGGGGGGGAGTGTTAGATGTACTAGCAGTTTTAAATAAACTAGTGTAGCACCCTCCTAGTTTAGCTAGGGGGAGATAGACCCTGATGGCTAGTGAGAGCTGATTAGCAGCTCAGCTGAGACAGTCAGAGGAGTCACATTTTGATCAGAACGGAGAGACTCTGCAGGTCAGCTCCTCTGGAATTTCCCCCTGCTCTGAGGCTTTTGGAGGAGGGCCTTGGAGGCAGTGGCTGGATCTGAGGAGTAGTTGGCTGCACTTTTTTGGAATCTACAACAGGAGGCTTGGCAAGGGGCTGGACTTCCTTAAAAGTGATGGAGCCTGCCCAGTAGCAGGAGTGGAGTGCGGTGGTGGAAGCGGAGTGAGAGGCAGGAAGATGTGAGGCTGGAGGAGGAAGGCTGCCAGGAAGCCTGCGAGCCTGGAATCAAAGAGGAGGAAAACGCAGGACTTACTGGCCCCCTGAGAGAGGACCACCTGTATGGCATGCAAGGAACAGCCCGGCTGATAGGCCTGGTAGCAGTAACCATCCCGCAAGAGGTACAGGAGAGCATCTGAATGAGAACACCTACACCCCCTGGGCAGATAGGGGAAGGAACACTCTGGTGGGAAACCAGATTAGTGCTCTGCTAGTCACTCTTATCCACGTAAAGGAACAGGAGCCACATCCCCCACTCAGGAAGAAAGTCTGCAGATTGCTGGGTTAAGAGGAGTTCATCTAGGGTCTGGGGTGGTACCAATGGAGCTGCTCGCTAGCACTCCAACAGAGACTGTGTCAGAGAGAAGAAGTTGTGAATAGTTCAGGAAGTTGTCCTCAGATTTCGGATGCCTTTGCGCATCCTATACACCCCTTACCCCATCCAAGTTTAATTCCCTCAACTAAAAAACAAAACCAATGCTCAAGGCCTGCTTCCTGTCTATGGATGAAAGCTTGTGTGAAAAATGCTAACTGACTGACTGTGCAGGACTATAGGGGGACCCAAATTCATCAGCAATCCCTAAGAGGGTAGTGCTACACTAGTAACTTGAAGCTAAACTCTAGCTAAAACTTTATTAGCAGTTACATACAAGCCTGGACTGGCTATAGGGCACATTTACCCTGTTGGCTGGGGCTGCCTGGCTGCATGTCCCAAGATCTGACTAATGTGAATTATGCAGAAACAGCACCTCCTGCGCTCAGGGACCCAGATCAGAAATTGGTGGATGGATCAACCTCTATGGGAGTTCGACCATCAATGGATCAAAGGTTGTGCAGCTGTTAACCACTAGCCTACAGGGCACTTCTACCCCCTTCCTGCCCAGGCCAATTTCCAGCTCTTAGCCCTGTCGCACTTTGAATGACAATTGCGCGGTCATGCAACATTGTACCCATATGCAATTTTTATCATTTTTTTGTGACAGATAGAGCTTTATTTTGGTGGTATTTAATCACCTCTGTGTTTTTTATTTTTTCTTAAACAAACCAAAAACCACTGAAACTTTTGAAAGAAAAATGTTTTTTCTTAGTTTTTGTTATAACATTTTGTAAATAAGTAATTTTTCTCCTTCAATGATGTGCGCTAATGAGGCTGCACTGATGGGCACTGATAGGCTGCACTGATGGGCACTGATGAGGAGGCACTGGTAGGTGGCACTGATGGGAATTGACAGGCATCACTGATGGGCACTGAAAGGCAGCACTGATACATGGCACTGATACATGGCACTGATAGGCAGCACTGTTAGGCAGCACTGACTGGCACTGTTAGGCGGCACTGACAGGCACTGTTAGGCGGCACTGACAGGCACTGATAGGTGGCACGGATGCGCACTGATAGGCAGCACTGACTGGCACTGATAGGCGGCACTGATTGGCAGCACTGATAGGTGGCACTGATTGGCACTGATGGGTGACAGTGAAAGGCAGCTCAGATGGGCACTGATATCTGGCATTGATGTGCACTGGTGTGCACTGATATGTGGCAGTGTTGTGGCACTGATATAAGGCACTAATGGACACTGAGAGGTGGCACTGCTGGGGCTGCACTGATCATAAGGGCACACTGATCATCAGTGCCCTGATGATCAGTGTACATGTCCCCTCCGCGGAAAGCCGATTACCAGCTCTCCTCTCCTCTCGAGCTGTCAGCGTGACAGTTTGAGAGGAGGGAAATACCGATAACCGGCATTTCCCTGTTTACATGTGATAAGCTGTGATTGGACACAGCTGATCACATGACCGAGCCGACATCTTCGGCTCTTTCCGTGATCGGTGATCCGCTGTGTCCGAGGGACACAGTGCACAGCCGATCGTCGCGCTGCGTGCTCCCTGAGCCACGCATGCGCAGTGAGAATGGGAGGACGTCATATGATGTCCTCCCAGAACGAAAGAACCACCTTGCGCCCGTCATATTACTATATGGCAGGCGGGAGGTGGTTAAACAAGGCTGGGGGAGCCCGACCAATACTGCACATGAGAACAAAAACAAAGCGCATTAACCTTGCACATTACCTCAATAAAAAAATTTAATTTAATAAAATGGGGTGTATACTCACAAACGTAACCGTATAAAACGCATCTAAAATCTAAAATTGGAACACTGGAATATGAGACACGTGCAAATCCTACTGAAGTGTTAGACACTCAGAGTACAGTTGACGAGTTTCGAAGGGAGATCCCCTTTTCATCAGTGTCTCATATTCCAGTTTTCCAATTTTGGATTTTACATGCGTTTTATACTGCTACATTTGTGAGTATACACTGTATTTTAATAACGTCACATTTTTTATTGAGGTAATGTGCAAGGTTGGTGCGCTTTCTTTTGTTCTCATTTGCAGTAATGTGAGTTATGTACTGAGCACCCGACAGTACGATCTTGTCCCTTCTACTGTTCTCTGCCTGCAAGCCCTGCCAATAACCGATGGCTGGTTTGATGCCTATTCCCCTAGATCCCAACACCAGCTAGAGGTTCAGCCTGACCTCTAGCAGCCTGCAACCTGGTAAGATGAGGGATATCAGCCCTGAGCCCAGCCCACAGCAGCCCCAGCAGCAGGAAGTGGCTCTGCCAGTGCCTAGGCTACAGGCGCATGAAAACCGGACCATGGTGGAGATCATCGCCAACCACCCAGCCGAGCTGGTCAGGATCAACAGCCCAAACTCCATCTGCTCAGTGCTGCCCCCTCCACTGAAACTGCACCCTGCTGGTGGCATTCAAGGTGGGTACTGTGGAATGGGGGACTTATGTGTCTGATCTTCCAAGGAGGAAGAGGAATAATGATGTGTCCGATATTCCAGGAGGCAGAGGGGTACTTGTGTGTCTGATCTTCCAGAAAGGGGGCAGAGCAATACTTATGTGTCTTATCTTCCAGGGGGGTATAGGGGTACTTATGTGTCTTATTTTCCAGTGGAATATAGGGGTGCTTATGTGTCTGATCTTCCAGGTAGGAAGAGGGATACTTATGTGTATGATCTTCCATGGAGGTATAGGAGTACTTACTGAGTGTGTCTGATCTTCCTGGAAGAGGGCAGTGGAACACTTATGTGTCTGATATTACATGAGGGGGGAGAGGTAATTATGTGCCTGATCTTCTCGGAGGGAAGAGGGGTACTTATGTGTCTGATCTTCCAGGGGGGTATAGGGGTATTTATGTGTCTGATATTCCAGTTTTGTGTATCTGTTATTTCAGATTGTGCTTTGTGTAATATTTATATCTTGCAAAAAAACTTAATCAGAGTGTAATTTAAAAAGAAAGAGGGTCCCCTCAACCTGTCCAAAGTAACTCTAGATGACATAGCAGGAGATGAGGAGCAGCCTTTAGCTCAGTGCAGTTGGCACCATTTAATCTGCCAAGATTTGCCTGCTAAACAGTCTCATTGGCTTTGGAAGATCCTTTCTGATTTTTAATTTCGATCATCTAAATTAAAATTCAAGGAGGTCCGGTCACTAAAATTTTCTTCTGGCCGAGGTCCAAATAGGGTGTGCCCATCAGTGTGCCCCCATTAGGTGTCTCCATCAGAGTGCAGCTTTACATCATGTATTCCCATCACATCAGGTGTACCCATCAGAGTGCTCCTTTACATCAGTTGTCCCCATCAGAGAACCTCTTTACATCAGGTGTCCCCATCGCAGTGCCACCTTACATCAGGTATTCCTGTCAGAGTGCCCCCTTACACTCAAAGTACCCCTTTCCACCATATTCATCATAAGACCGCCCCTTTCCATCACATGTGCCCATCAGAGTGCCCCTTTCCACAGTATGTGCCCATTTGTGCCCCCTTAACATAACATGTGCCCATCAGAGTGTCCCTTAATATAAAATGGGCCCGTTAGAGTTCCCCTTAACATAAAATAAGGGGCATGCTGATGGGCACAGTTATATTAAAGAGCACTCTGATGGGTACATTTTATGTTAAGGGGCACTCCGATGGGTACATGCTATGTTGTGCCCATCAGAGTGCCCCTGTAAGACTTCATCCTACCTTGAGGGCAGACAGGAGCTGATCCGGGATCCTTGCTGAAGGATGCTTGTGTACAGGTAAGATGCAGGAGCCATAGAGAGTGAGCTGCAAGGGGCTGGGTGCACACGTGATGTCATGTCATGATGACCGCCCTGCTCAGTGGCAGATCTGTCATTGCAGGCTGACGGTCCAGAAGGGAGCACTGCTGGGGCCATTCTCAGACCGCGGTCCACCATTTAGTGACCGCTGATCTATACTATTAACAATCCCAATTTTCCTATTGACATTACACACTGTTACACTGATAACATTTTGGCATTTTTAAAATGAACATTTAGGAGAGGTCTGGGTGCCAGCAAATTAATTAATTTCAAGTTTATTCAAATTTGATTTAAAAAAAATGGGCTGCTGAGTCTTAAACGCCTGGGCCTATTTTTTGTCCCAGACTGAGCTTACAGGAAACAGTTTTTTATCCTTTTAGGATAAACGTTTTACATAAAGAAAAAAAAGCTGATCATTGTAAGCACCCCTGTTAGTGTTAAATTGTTTTTCTCATCTCTGTAACTGATACATTCTTCTGGAGAGCTTGTTCTTTAAAAAAAAACAAAAAAAAAACACAAAACAGACTTTCTGGCTGGGTCACCAGGTGAAAATAGAAGTCTAAAAAAGGAATCTAATGCAACCATCACATCTAAGAATTGGTAAGCTGCAATATAATAAATGTTTGCTTTTGGTTTAATACCGCTTGAAGCCTTTGGATAAGCATGACATTCAGGCAGCTTGTATTTTTAGATCAAGGGGTTAGTAATGGAAGTCTTCATATTTTCCTCAATATAGGTTTTCCTATAATATATAGACCTGAAATTTAGTGATGACCATAAGGTCTCATACACATTTTGCATTTCTCTGGCAGGTAGAAGATCAGAGAACAGATGTTCCTTGATCTCTTCCTGAATGACAGGTTGGGGAACTTTACCTTGGTTCTGGGCTCTCCAATTCCTACGTAGCTAGTGCCAAAGGGAAGGGGGGGCAAGCACTTTTGGTACTGTAAAAGTGATCCAGTAGCTCTATAGCTGCCCGGATCACTTTTAATGAAAGCTGCACCAGTTTAAAAAAACATCAAGCTTGTTTTAAACCCCTTGCCTACAAGAATGTTTATAAACATACTTTGGTAGACAAGGGGTTAACGCAAACCTCAGGGCAGGAATAAAATACACAAATAACACAGCTCTTTTCATTAAGGCTGATATCCAGGAAAACAAGTAAATACACAGATTAAATACATATACAGGAGCTGTTTTGCCTGTAAAGAAATTTGTATTTGTGTTTATCCAGTCCTGAGATTTACACAGCTCTGCCACACAGTACTGTCTGGCAGGGAAAGAGACCTGATTTTTCTCTACTTCAGATAAGTAGACCTCACACTGAAATTGAACTTTCCTCCTCTCAAATCCTAAACAACACGGAAACCAATTATTTTTTTTTGTTTGATTGCTTACATTTTTTTTTTAATATTCACATTCTGTCCCGCCCCCTGTAATATATATTACACAAATCTGCAGTCCTGAGTGGAAATGGGGCAGACAAGCCACACTGAGCCTTTTACAGCACAGAAGAGACCACGCCTACCAATAACCCCGCTCCTCCACTGCTCTTCTGCCACAACTGACCAATCATCCGGTGAGGATAAATCTTCCAATGAGGCAGCTGTTCTGATGACAATTTATAAAAGGATTTCCCCTGACTTTGGAAAGATTTCCTCTCCCTTCCTATTGAGTTTCCTGGACAAAAACTAAAGGGAAATCTCCCAAAACAGAAAGAGAGCAAAACATAAATAAATTGACAGGGTTTTGACCCTTTATGGTTTAATGAAGAATGCCAGGTATGGGTAATGCTTAAAGGATAAATTCACCTTTTGACCAAAAATAATAAATGTACAATTTTTTGCAGGTGAAAAAAATGTGCATTTATTATTTTTGGTTGCAGGAGCCTGTAAAGCATTGCACCAAGGAACAGCAGATCGTTGGTGCCATGTAGGTCCCCTGCAGATCTGTCAGTATATCTGCTTACCCATACGGGATGTGCAGGCAAGTAGATATACTGACAGGAAGATTCAATGATCTCGACAGCAGTAGTTCATTGAGAATTACAATACCAAAAAACAATAAACCTCCTGCCTGATGGGTACTGAGATATGAAGAATGCTACCTCACTTTTCCCTTGAAACCCTTTGGCATGGACGGAACTTGAGGGGTTGTAGGGGTTGCAATGGCCTGTTCAGCCTCTCTGTCACATTAGGTTTTACACTGTGTCGCAGGGGACTTGCAGGGTGACAATGCAAGCCCTTTCCCTTAGCAGCACACTCTCTGCTCAGTGCCCCCCTCGCCCAGCCCAGTACAGCCCCTCTTCGCCCTGCTGAACCGTGCACGTGCACACAAGGTGGGGGCAGGCAGGCCACACTCTGAGCTGCTGGGTGAAAGCAGTGAGCTTGTATGTGATTCTGGAGGTTAGATGGCCTACCCACCCCAGTTGAGGCCCATGCTAGGCATTTTGGGTGGTAGTAGGTTTTGGGTGGTAGTAGTAGTAGTTTTTGGGTGGTAGTAGGTAGTAGGTTTTACACTGTGTCGCAGGGGACTTGCAGGGTGACAATGCAAGCCCTTTCCCTTAGCAGCACACTCTCTGCTCAGTGCCCCCCTCGCCCAGCCCAGTACAGCCCCTCTTCGCCCTGCTGAACCGTGCACGTGCACACAAGGTGGGGGCAGGCAGGCCACACTCTGAG